GTTTAGTCGCTTCTTCGTACTCTTTTTCTCTCTTCCTCTCTTATTTTCTTTTTCACGTTGACTCTTTCGATATTTATGTTACGTTTCGTATTCCTCTTTATGCCGGAAACGAAACTTTCTTACTTTCCGCATTTTTCGCGTTTAAACATCATCTTCTTGCAAACAAAATAACGTTGAAGGTTTATCGTCGATCATAATTCTTCCTTTGGAAAAGTGTTTTTTCGATCAGTTATTATTTTTTCTTTTTTTTTTTTTTTTTTTTTTTAATTTTTTATTATTCTTTTTTTTTTTTCTTTTTCAACGTATATTGTTTGTGGAAAGCGTGAAAAAAGAAAAACTCAACACGATCTCTAATCATGTAAGCGATTATATTCGATCGAATAGAATTACGGTGTCACGAAGTGCCACTTGAGAATCTCTCGTGAGGTTCGAGAGGAAAGCACTTCGAGGGTAAGTACTTTACCAGTCTTCGACGGTGTCGCTCGCATTATAGGAAAGAAAAGAGTCGTCACTTAAACTGGTGTTAGGTTCAATTCGTCATCTTGCTTTCTCACAAGCCTCACTGATAAACGCGGACGTTGACCGACTTAACGTGCTCGGCTTCGATTGTGTTTCCTTCGAGTATCTTAACGTAGTTTGCTAACAGAGAGCAGACTTTGATGTACTTACTTACTGTACTCTACGTTCCTATGTTATTTTATTTTCTTTCAAATGAAAGTTTCGTTGCTTTTTTATCTCCTTTTTTTCTTTTCTTTTTCTTCTCATTTTTTTTCCAACGAACTAATTCGATCTGCCATGTATGCTTTCACGTTGTAAATGTATGTGTTGTGTATCCTCAAAAATATGGTCTTGTTGGTCTTGTTGGTACGCGAAAGAGAAAAAGTGACAATACACAATGTGTACATGTTGCGTGGTTGCCAGCAACCCAATCCTGTTCGAAATATTTTCCAAACATTTTTTCTTTCTCTTTTTTTTTTTTTTATTTTTATTTTCTTTTTATTTTTTATTTTTATTTTTTATTTTTATTTTTACAAATATCCTATATTTTCCCGACATGGAATATACTACAAGTACAAAAGAATCCAACATGGCCAGGCAATATACGTCGAATCGAATGTGTACTGTTATTTTCATTTATAAATTTCACGAAAATAATGTTACTATTTGTCCCAAAATAGTAACTCTCCTCCTTCTTCCCCCCTTCCCACCATCGATAAGAAATACCCTTTCTATAAATTCGGGAATCGTTTTGTCACTGTTCCATTTTCTCCGGTTAATTCAATCTACAGTAACGTTCTAAATATTTTTCCTATCTTTGTATAATAAACACACTTGTTGATATAAATCTTACATTTTTTCATTTTAATTGAAAACAACTTTTTCGAAGAAATAAACTACTATAATCAATGATCTACTTCATCTATCCTTTTCTCAATGTTCTTATACAAAATATATAAAAATCTGATGGTCATAAAAAAGATATATAATATTTGCTTGGATTTCCTTTTTCATATCTTTATTATTTGATTTATTTAAACAAACTGATTTCTGTTGAAGTACATTAAAAAAATCTTTCATTTATTGTATAACGTATTAAGTAAAGTTATATATTTATGAATATAATTTCCCTGTAAATATAATCGTAACATACAATAAATTAACAAAATCTCTTAATGAAGAAAAAAGTAAAAATCTCGATGTATTTTTAATGTATTATCAATTTATACGAAATGAAATTGAAAATGTTATAAAAATATCAATCTCTTAAAAAGATAAAAAATGAAATTTAACTTCGAATATAAATTGGCATTATTTGTTTTTAATTAATATAAATTAATCATCTAATTAATTAATTGATTGATTAATCGATTGATTGATGGTAACTAAAGACAATCAATATTAAAACGATCATAACTAATTTATAAAGGAAAAAAAAAAATAATCAATCGAGACAAATATTAACAAATCATGGTCTATAATAATTTTATCATATAATTGATCGAAGAAAAATTAAGGTCGAGAGCAAGTAAGTTTATTCGACTACTTAGTCGAATAAAGAAATGTAACGTAAATTCTCTCGATTGTTAGAACGAGAAAAAGAGAAAGAAAAAGAATGATTGTTTACGATTATGACAGGACACGGGTCGTTAACCCGTTCTATATGTATGTGTATATATAATTGACTACCGGTTACATGCACGAGAGTTACCACTAGCTTGATATTTAGAGTAAATGAGAGAAAGATATATATATATATATATATATATATCTCTATATATATATATCTCTATATATATATAGAGATATATATATATATATCTAGATATATATATATCTCTATATATATATATATATATATATAGAGAGAGAGAGAGAGAGCGATAGATAGATAATAGATAGATAGATAGATAGATAGATAGATAGATAGATAAAGAGAGGCTGTTGTATCTTCTCGCGTGCAACCAGCTTCGTATTAGATTATCAGGGTAACCTTGAAAGA